CCGGCGCCGGCGCCGGCGGCGACTCTGGCTCCCGCCGCCTACGATTCCGTGCCGGGGTCGCCCCCGGGGTTGGCTCGGGCGCCGGCGGCGGCGACTGCTCCATCCCCGCGGGGCCCGGGCCGCGTCCGCCTCGAGCTAACGGTCCCGCCAGCTAGGCGCGCGCGCCGGCCCCGCGCGCCATGTTCCCGCCGTACCGCGCGCCGCCGCGGCAACCCACAGCACCCCCCCACAACCGCGCACGCGCGCACTCGCCGCACCAGCGCCCCGCGCGCCTCCGCGGGTCCCCCCAACCGCGCAAGCGCGCACTCACCGCGCCCCTTCCCCGCGCGCCCCGCCTCGCGCCCTCCGGAGCCGGCCGCTGTTCCCGGCGTCGCGCCCACCCCCTCCGCACTCGTCCGGCCTAACTGGAGCGCTCGCCGTTCTGGACTTGGCGCCGCCGCCTGCCGCACTGCGGACGACCCCCGGGGAAGGCCCCTGGCACCTTACCAGCGTTGACCCATATTCTTCACAGGTCACTCCAGCCTTGCGGAGAAGGTGTAAGCCAGGAGATAATTACCCCCCAAGAAGTGCTGGGGGAAGAACGCTGCTAATGTGATGAGATCCCCGTGAGGAAAGTGTGCAAGCACGTGCGCAGGAGTGAGTGGCACAGTGAATGCCCATGTCCCTGGGACAGCCAGACTCAGTGGAGAACCTGAGTTCGAGTACCACATCTCCACTAACCTTGCTTGATTAAGGTCAGGTCTCTGGGAGCCTGTCTCTCCTTAATCAGGAAGGCCGATAACTAAGGGATGTTGGGAGGACTCAAGGAAACAAGCCGGATGGTGTCAGCACAGCTCCTAGTGCTCACTGAGTATCAGTGACAAGACCAAATAAGTTTTCTGTACTGGTTAAAACCGAGGGCTCTAAAGAGGGGAAATCTGTTTGAGTCTGGCCTCCACCTCTTGCAAACTGGGAAACCTTTAACAGGTCACTTGACCAAAGCAGAGTGCCTTGATTTCTAAGTCAGCAAACGGCAGAGGGGCAGAAATACTTCACAGGGTTGAGGTGAGCCTTCAGAGATGCATGTCCCTTGAGCACGCCTGGGAGCACCATGCTTTCCAGGCTCCGCTGTATAATTCTGGCCCTTTCCTTCCAAGACTCCTAAAAGTTTAATGAAAGGGGCTCTGCTCCCAAACTCTGTGGTATAATTAGCTGGGAGGGTTCACTCAACCTTGGGGCTGGAAGGACTGTTACTTCCCACATCTTTGCTTTCCATTCTCTGCCCCAAACCTCTCTAAAAACCCTGAAGTTGGCAGAAAAACAGCAGCAAATGTTTTTCCCTACTAGAAAAAAAAAAAAAAAATCTCCAAGGGTCTCTCGGAGTTTGTAACTGTTTGAATTTATTAATTTGACCTTTTCCAGGTACTAGTGACAATAATAATAATTCAACCTGGAGTTTAAAAAAAAGGTACAAATTGAAAATTCTCAGAACGGTAGCTCACTTCAGGCATAGCTGGATCCAGGCACTCAGTGACCTATAGCTTGGTCTTTTTCACCTCCACTTCCCTTTCTGATGACTTCTCATGCAGCACTCTCCATCATCCTAGGCGGCACCCAGCTCATACCTGACCAGGAAAAAAGGAGCTGTTTGCAAATAATTCCAGCCAGTCTCAGGGCTGACTTTCATTGCAATTATTTAAGTCCCTACTTGAGCCAATCACAGCAAAATTGGCCAAACCTGGCTATACTGAGCACCTCTAGGAAGGGGATGGGGTCCAGGGTGAGTGGGAGGAGAGAGAGAGATACTCCCCAGAAAAATAACGATGCAGTCATCTACAAGAAGCATCAGCTGAGGACAGGCACAAATCAAAGGTGCCCACTGCACCATTATCCAGGCATGCAGCAGGTCAACCATGGAACAACATGCCTGTTTCTGCAGAAGGAGTGGCAGTTACTTCAGGCACTGGGAAGTACCCCCTCACCTCTGCTCCCACCATCCACCCAGTCCTGGCATTTCCCAAATGTTAGGTCAAAGGCATCTCAATTATCCGCCCATCTTGGGTGTGCCCACGCCCCCCAGAAACTGAACAGATTATATTACATCCCTGCTCAAGAATTTTCCATGGCTCCCTCCAGCTACTTTTGTGGTCCTCCCACCTTTAAGGATGGAAACCAACATTGATAGATCCCTTATCCCATGCCAGACACTTTAAATGACCTTCCCCCATTCAATCCTCACAAACACCATATGAGGCTGGTATTCTTACTGCACCCACTTTATAGGTAAGGACATAAAAGCTCGGCAATTTCAAAGCCAAAGTCAGGAAGCGCAGAGAGCTCAGATTGGCACAATATTGTTTTTACCACCAATATTGCCATCCCAGCTCCATTTGCTCGTGTTTCAAAGTCCTGGGCCCACCTCCAGGTAGGAGGCCAATGGGAAGAGCTCCACCAGGGAAGGAACCCCTTGGTACCCCCCCTTCAGCTTCCATAGTTGAGAGGGCAGGCAGACATTTAGTTTTACCATCTCCCCCTTCCCCCCTTAACTTCATGGGATAAGGAAAAAGAATTGCCTCAAAAGAAAACTGGAGTGAGGTCAGGAAGAAGTGGATGCTGGGTGGCTCCAAATAAGCAGTGACATCTTATTGATGAGTATGTTAGTTTCCTATGGCCTCTATAACGAATTACCACAAACTGGGTGGCTTAACATAAATTTGTTCTTAAATAATTTTATAGTTCAGAAATCTGAAATCATTTCCACTAGTGAAAGTCAAGGTGTAAAGGACTGGCCCCTTCAGGAGAGATTCTGTGGGGAGAACCCATTTCCTTGTCTTTTTTCAGCTTCTCATGGCCACCTGTATCCCTTGGCTTGTGGCCCCTTCCTCCCTCTTCAAAGCAGCTCACTCCATTCTCTTCTAACTCTAACTCCTTCTGTGTGTGTCCCTCTCGGAAAACATTGTGATGACACACCCGCCCCAGAAACATTCTGGGACCCACCCAGAAAAGACAGGATAATTTTCCTATCTCAGGATCCTTAACTCAATCATATCTGCAAAGTCTCTTTTGCCACGTAAAGGAACATATTCATATTCTGGGGATGAGGATGAGGTCATCTTTGGGAGCCATTAGTCTGTCTGCTATGGTCGGAATAATCAGAGGGAGCAAACATAAAGTGCTCTGGAAACAGAGAAGGGCTGGCTGGCTCTGCCCCAAGAGGGGAAAAATGCCCTAAGAAACCACAGCCTTCACATTAAGTATTCAAATGAGCTAAAAACCCATCTAACTTGGCAATCTCCACCTCACTCTTTTAAATATGCAAACCACTTAAATCCTAATCTAGCCCCTACAACCCCCCACCACACACACCAGGCCAGCCAAGCCTCAGAATGCTTGCACACCCTTCTAATGGAAATTGCCAACCACCACCCAACTGCCCACGGCAACAGCTGTGTGCCCCAAGGCCCTGGTTGGCTCATCAGTGGCATCAGAACCAAGGCATTCAACTCATGGCAAGACCAGTTAGCTACAATGTGGTCCACTATCAACCAGCCAAAGATAAAAAAAAGAAGCAAAATCAGTGGGTCAGAAAGAGACAAGAGGAACTGAGCATTATAACTGCCTGGGCTCCAGATGGATGCCAGGCCCAGACATCTGTAACCCTGAAACAAATCCCCTTTCTCATGAAGTGATCCGAATGAGCTTCTGTTCCTTGCCACCAAGGTGTCCCAACTTACACATATTGTGGGGCTGGCTGTACCCTCTTATAATAATTGAACACACCGCATTCAGGATTTAAATATCGGTCTCTTGTGAGTTTTGTCAATGTGAGCCAGCAATCCTGAGTCTGACTGTGTATGAACCTGAGAAGATGAGGAATATTAAGAGTCAGAAAGACCTGGGTTGGGTGCTACCTCTGCCACTTATTGTGTGACACTGACCAAGTCAACTTACTCCTTCCTCCTGGGCTCCTCACCTACAACAGCAGGGCAGTCAGAGGACTTATACCACAGCATCACTGTGAGAACTGGACAAGACCAGCCAAGGGAAGGGCTTTATACAGGGTCTCCCTGGTCACTGTTGGCTCAACAAGAAATGCCCACATGCCTCATTTGCATTTCCAAAATCCAAACAGCTTTGAAACCTGAGAGTCATCCATAACTCCTTTGACAGGACAGAAGTGACCTGAACTGACACGAGGCACTTATTGTCTTCTCTCTTTTAACTCTTTTATTGTATTTGCTGTAAGAGTATTTACAGTGCTTAGTTATAGTACTCTACTGGCTGTTACAAATAACAGAGTCGATGTGCCATGAAGCCTTCTTAAAACCAGGAAAATTTCGGGGCACCTGGGTGGCTCAGTGGGTTAAGCCTCTGCCTTCAGCTCAGGTCATGATCCCAGGGTCCTGGAATCGAGCCCCGTATCAGGCTCTCTGCTCAGCAGGGAGCCTGCTTCCCCCTCGCTCTCTCTGTGCTGCTCTGCCTACTTGTGATCTCTCTCTCTCTGTGTCAAAGAAATAAAATCTTTAAAAAAAAAAAACAGAAAAATTTCGTATTTGACAACTTTTTTGGTCCGACGGTTTCAGTGACAATGGACCTGTATCTTTATGCAGGTGAGGATGAGAATTTAAAACTGGTCTGTGATATACGGTACCAAGGTACCTCTCATCTCATTAGGACTTTGGTGACCAGCCAGGCTCTACAAACTCCACACAAACCTGCAGCTTTTCTAAAGGGTCTTTCAAATGCAGTTTGCCCAGGATGAGACCAGGGCTACCCACCTGGTTCCAGCCAACGCAGAGTGCCAGACAAAAAGCACAAAACTGCAAATACACAAAAAAGGCATGCCACCAAAGAGCCCGTCATCAAGCAAAAAGCACAAAGCCCAGGTTCCACTAGGTTTGGGATTGTGTATTGATGATCATGAAAAAGCAACCTTCCCCACAATTACAATACACTATAATAAAAAACAAACAAAAAACAGATTTAAAGAAAATGGCAGCAGGGTTCAAGAAGGTAGGTTCCTTTCATGTCCAACCAGTGTTCACGACACGGCAGCACACACAGCCAGACGCTTTGTGGTGTCAGCGTCCTCTGCTTCCCCTTCAAGAAGCCGCTTTCGACTTGTGGAAGGCTGGAAGTAAAAAGGAAGAAATGTTCAAAGAAAACCACTGGCTCTAAGATTATCAAAGTGTTCCACTGTGCTGCCAGTAAACCTGGAGCATTTCACATGAAGCTTCTAGTGCCAAGAATTAGGAGTCATCCCCCCCTTGACATCTGAATCCCCACCAAATGTGCCCAGACTCAGACATGTTTATTCAAGGACATTTCTCTCCTTTGTGGCTTCAGACCGCTTAATGTATACTGAAAGGACGCAGCATAAACACCTTCCCTCCTCTCTGGCATCTCCTGCGAAATTATGAAGTTCAAAGGGACTACAATACCTCTTGCTGGGAGCCCCAGATCTTGCTCTTTTGTGGAAAGATCATCTTTTTTGTGTCTTTGTTTCCCCATTTATAAAATTTCAAGGGGACAGTGGGAAGGTGAGTATAATTCACCAAAAGAAGGCAGAATACGAATGAGCAGATATTAACTAATCCTAACAAAGAACCTTGGAGGAATAAAATTATAATCAATAATCAACCACTTGCCCAGATTTTAAATTTCCAACAAGTTTCAATTTGAACTTCTAATAGAGTCTTCCAATTTGCCTTGCAGGAGACCTCTTGAGTGACAATCTCCGGCTGTGTTTCTTTAATGCATTCAACTCACTCGTCCTTATTAAGTCTTCTAAGGGCACTAGGGCAGATGGAGTGGAAACAAAGTATCTACTACATTATTCCAAAAAAATATTAAGCAACTGCTACTAAGGAGACCTTCTGAGCTCATCAGCCTTGCTCATGAGCTCTTTCTTTAAAACTGAGCCTACATTTAACAACCATCATCTGGAAATACCTGGGCTGGGGCTTGGGGTAAAGACATCGACTTATTTTCTTCAAAAAGCAAATTCTGAAATTTTCTCTTCATGTCCTCATCCTGTGAAGAAATAAAAAGAAAAGAAAAGAAAAAAAAAAAAAAACCTCAATAGACTGTGTCTGAAGGAAAGAAAGCTCATAAAAAGACAGGGCTAGGTTGGCCCGGGAAAGAGGAAAGTGGGTAAGGACGCCCAGTCTGTCCACCAAAAGGCATGCTCTTGCTGAGGCTCAGAAGGTAATGGGCCATGCACTCCACAGCTCTGCCTTCCCGGAGGATTCTAATCAGAGTCCAGACTCAGTGGACACCGGCTAGATCACATCCACATGCCTCAGGGCTCTCATTGGGTCAGGGAGAACCACAGACGTTAGCAGTCACAAGACTTTCAGAACCAGCATCCCAGATCCTGAGAAACAGCAATCAGGAAGTCAGAGGCTGGGACTGGCTCAGTCCTGACCCTTTATAGGGTCTGACAGCAGACCCTATAAAATTCCCCAAACCTCTCCAGGAGGTGTCTGGAATAAGACCATTTACTGGGGCTTCCCTAACAAAGCAACCCAGCACCCCAGAAAATTCTCCCAGCAAATACTACACAAGTCACAATATTGAAGCCCATAATATTCCAGAGCTAAAGAGAAAGGAGGACAGATGAATAGACCACAGCATTACAGGTGTTTTGTGCTGCTAGAGGAAGAAGGGGGAGTAGAAGGTGCATGTGCACACACAGAACTCCTGCCCAGATGTCTAGGAGGGTAATTCCCACCTCCATGAGTGTTACTTCCGCAGGGTTTAAGGATTTGTGTCTGGGAATCCTGAAAAGAATCCTGAATTCTTCAGAAAGGTGAAACATCCATGACTAGGATGGGGCCAGCTAGAAGCCCAGCTCAGCCACTCAGAAGTAGCACAGGCACAAGACAGACCCACAGCAGCCTGATTCCAAGGCCCCATGAACCTTCCCATCCAAACCCCTCCCGTTCCTCCCGCTAAGCTAAGCCAAGAGCACCTCGGTAGATAGGGGCAGAGGACATACGAGTGAAGGCCTCCAACATTCAGCACTTGGATACGTACAGAAAAATTACAGTGCTCAAGAATTAACTCACCTTTTCTGTATCTAGCGGCTGAATCACCTGCTTCCAAGACACTGTTTACTGAGGCACTCAGGGTAGCGCCCCCACTGCCCATTCTGAGAGCACCACCTTCACCTGGATTCCGCTCCACAATCTCCAATAGGATCTTAACTTCCTACTCCATGCCACTCTCAAAATTCCTTCCCCTCTTTCCCCCTATTCCCGCTCACAGCCCCCACCAGGAATGCCCTCCTTGCCATTCTGCCCATCCCCCTCACCCACCACTGTCATTCACTCAGTGAACAAATACTTCCTGAGCAGGCTTAGGTGCCAGGCACTGTAAAATGCACAGGGGCCTCCATCTAGAGGGACTAAAAATGAGGTCCACCCGTGGTGACTAAACTATGTCCACCTCTGCCCCCTACATTCAAATGTTGAAATGGTAACCCCCAGTGACCATCTGGAGACAGGGCCTTTGAAGGGGCAATTAAGTTAAAATGAGGCTATTAGGGTGGGGTTCCAATCTAGTATGGTTGGTGTTCCTCACAAGAAGAGAAAGAGACGCCAGGGATGTGAGCACAGAGAAAAGGCCATGTGAGGACAGGGAGAAGACAGCCATCTGCAAGGCAAGGAGAGATGCCTCAGGAGAAGCCAAATGTGTGCCAACACCTTGAAATCGGGACTTCTAGCCTCCAGAACTGTGAGGAAATAAACTTCTGTTGTTTAAGCCACCCTGTCTGCAGTATTTTGTTATAGCAGCTCTAGCAAACTAAATACACCCATGTCATCCCCAGGCCACTCAGCCTTTAGAATCTCTTCATACTGTGTGAACCCATGAGTACCTGAAACCCAATGGACCATGGCCCTATCTCACTCTGAGGGTCCCCCTCATGCTCTACACCTACCCCTACTGCCACGTGTATCCCACTGTGCTGTGATGACTATGGTCGGGGTTGGCCCCCACCCAGACTGTCAGGTCCCCCAGGCAAGGACTTCTCTTTCTCTTCTTTGCATCCCCAGTACCTACGTGTTGACACATGAGCTCATTAACTGTCCTTGAAAGAATGAACACAAAGAACAAACCCACACAGCAACACACTGGACGGCAGCTCTATTGTATAGCCAGAACTGCCCACAAGCCTATTTAGGCCTACATTTAACACAAATCATCAGGGCAGCTGGGTGGCTCAGTCAGTAAAGCGTCTGACTCTTGATTTCAGCTCAGGTCATGATCTCAAGGTCGTGAGATCAAGCTCGGCATCAGACTCCATGAGTCTGCTTGTTCCTCTCTGGCTGATCCTCCCCCTACTCGAGTGCGCTCGCTCTCTCTCTCAAATAAAAAAAAACCTTTTAAAAAAAAATAATTGGGGGGGCACCTGGGTGGCTCAGTGGGTTAAGCCTCTGCCTTCGGCTCAGGTCAGGGTCCTCGGATTGAGCACCGCATCAGGCTCTCTGTTCAGCAGGGAGCCTGCTTCTCTCTCTCTCTCCCTCCCTCTGCCTACTTGTGCTTTCTCTCTGTCAAATAAATAAATAAAATCTTTAAAAAAAAAAAAATTGGGGCACCTGGGTGGCTCAGGCATTAAGCGTCTGCCTTCAGTTTGGGTCATGATCCCTGGGTCCTGGGATCGAGTCCTGCATTGGGCTCCCTGCTTGGTGGGGAGCCTGCTTCTCCCACTCCTACTCCCCCTGTTTGTGTTCCCTCTCTCTCTCTCTCTGTCAAATAAATAAAATCTTTAAAAATAATAATAAATTAACAATTATTAGCAATAATATGGAAAAGGCACTCATTATATACCACAGGTAACAATGTGCATCTGCAAACACCTTCCTTGGAGATGTCTACAATCTATTCAAAAATTTATATTGTAAAATGAAGAAGGAATTCTCCATTTCAGAAAGTGAGTATGAAGTGTCAAAGAGTGGATGTTATAGGGTGTCATGGGATCACATAAAGGATGTTCCCCAAACCGAACACAGTTAAGAGCAAGACAGACTGGAATTCACATTCCAAACACTCAGTCCAAGGCCAGACCCACAAAGCCATTTGGCTTCTTCAAATGCACTGAAATTTCCCAAAATAAAACCTAAGCTATCACTAGCAGATAAGTAATGCTGGCATTGTCTGCATTCCTGTCCTCACTCTGTGTTCCCTCTACCTTCTGCAGCAAAAACAGAATGTGGACAACAGTTTTCCAGTGAGACCCCTGGGGAGCACTGAACTTCACCTTTTCCTCAGTTGTTAGTTAACAGTTTTCTTTTGAGACAAACAGAACAAGAAAAATAGGTTAGGCACGTTCCTAAGTTGTGGGCAGCTACAAACTCAGTTCCCTGGCCTAACTGGCAAGCTACATCCTACCCCACCCCTACCCCCCACAACAAGACCAGCACAGCTCCTGCACCTCCACATCTGGCTCTAAAAGTTTCCCTATTAGGGCACATCAAAAGAGCCAAGAGGCATGTTTTTCTTTTTCATCAAAATTAAATCCCCACATGCAAAGGCACCCTGGTTTCCAAATTCCTTTTCTCCAGGGTCCTGCTGTTTCAAATCTGTGTGGTCTACTAAGTGCTAAATCATCTGACAGATTTCTTCTTGGGGGAGACCGCTGTTTCCAGGGCAATAGCCCAAACAAATGTATCTACTTTTTTTTTTTAGTTCCAAGGATTTGTTATTCTCAACCCGAGCTGGCCTGAGCAAAACTGTTAGGTATGGAGAGCTGGAAGAGAGAAAGAATAGGGACAGTCTTCCCAGAGCCCCACAAACACAGTACTGAGAATGGATGGCCCGGAAGAGTTTCTGGACCAGTAATCCCCAGAGTACTTGAGCCCCGAGCTCAAGCTAGCTGGTTAAGTTCCCCATCCCCACAGGAAACAGACCAAATGGAAATCAACAAAAAGGGGTACGGCTGTACTGAGTGGAACGGCACTTCACAGAAGGCCTGACATCCATCAGAAAACCTGCCCTGTGCTGTAGCTAGTTCTAAAACCAAAGATCAGTCCACCAAAACCACAAAGGACTTCTAAGTCTGACAGCTAGAATGAGGTCAGAGTATAATCCAGTAACAGCCACAACAGGGACACAGAGATAATACAGACTGGAAAGGTGCAGTGACAGTCTGCACTCATGGCCTGTTTACTCACCAGGAATAAGCGGGACCCTGTATGCCCACTTAGGCTTAAGAGCGAGCACCCCTTCCCGCCAGAGAAGCTGCCCTCCTCCTCGTCCTCCTGCTCCCCTAACTTAAGGACGAGGACAGCTGGGAGGAAGCCCATCCCACCTGTCTGAGGGAAGAGGCTGGCACAGGTGGGAGTGGCAGTGGAGGTTCTGAGCTAGAATTTCTCAAGGTGCCACCGCCAAACTGCAGACTTGGGGAACCCAAGTGGGACTATGAAAGGCCAGTGAGGGGCGCCTGGGTGGCTCAGTGGGTTAAAGCCTCTGCCTTTGGCTCAGGTCATGATCTCAGAGTCCTGCGATCGAGCCCCACATCGGGCTCTCCGCTCAGCAGGGAGCCTGCTTCCTCCTCTCTCTCTGCCTGCCTCTCTACCTACTTGTAATCTCTGTCAAATAAATAAATAAAATCTTAAAAAAAAAAAAAAAAAGGTCAGTGAGCTGTCCTGGCCTTCCAGAAGCCACAAGTTAAGTTGAAAAGTTTATACCCAAAGACATGCCTATGCTCATGACCCATATACACACAGAAACATACCCTAGACATGGAAGGTGCATTAAACAGTCTCAAAGCAAACATGTTTCCAACTTCATCCTTTATCCTTCAGGTCCCCACATAGTTCATGCTAGCAAATGCTGTCCCATACCTACCTGAAGCCATGGGTGTCTTAAAGCTTCTTCTGTCGTAAAACGCACCTTTGGATCCACTATCAACAACTTCTTGACAAGGTCCAGAGCTAAAGCAGTAGATAACCAAATATCAAATCTTAGTGGAAAGGGAAGATACATTAAATCAGCAAAACTAAAGTATGCCAGAATCACAGGCCAACAGCCAAAGAGAGGGAGGGGCTGATGTCACTGCAAGTCAGCAGGTGTGGTGTCCAGGGCCCCCCACCCCCACGCCCCAGTCCTTCTCACTCTGTATTCAGAGCTCTCGGAGAACACCAGGAATGACCACAACGCCCCCCATCTCTCCTTGTTCACACATCACCACCTCTTCAACTCTCCTTGTTCCCCCCATTCATTGCTGGACTCAAGTTCAAACTAATTAAATCTGAACTTCTACCTAGTTCTAGGGTGCTTAGGATGTTCAGCCAACTCTCCCAAGACCCATGGAATGACAGTGAGAGTTTCTCAGCCAGCAACAGGCTCCTTGGAACTATAGGCTTGGCAGAAACAAAGCTTGACAGCGAGCAACAAGTGGAGGCTGGCTTTTATATTGCAACAATATTATTCCTTCAACATTCTAAGATTAACAGAATCGTCTATGTTACATAGCCTGACATTTAGTTTTCCTTTTCTACTTTTCCTTTTGAGAAGTATAAAGTTACACTTTTAAATTCTAAAACACAAAGAAATTACTTTAGCTCTTACTTGCTCACTCCAAGGAGACTTTGTAACTGAAAAGTTAGTTATTATTTTGTACACTTACTAGGTGCCAGGCACTTGCTTAGGTTACACCTACCCTCACAAAAACCCTTTAAGGGAGGGGTCTACTGTACCCGCTTTACATATAAAGGAAAGGGTAACTCAGAGACATTAAGTAACTTGCCTAAGGTCACACAGCTAGGGGTAGCAGACCCAAACAAAATATGAGCCTCAGTCAGCCTCGTCTGGAGGCTCTGTTCTCAACTTCCTTTGCCCCTCAAAAGGTGCAAAACAAACAACAGAAAATAAGAATTAACAAGAGGAACCTAACAGAATATGAAGAGAAATTTCAACCACAGCACACACACATCTCGGCAAACCACAAATTCTTAACCCTTTCATATTCATACCCTTTTCTGAGACCTCTGCCCAGACTTCAGGAATGAAATTGAATTTTCCACTGGTGATCTGATCCTTCAAAGACACTTGAGTCTTATGCTCAGAGAAAGGTGGATACCCACTAAGGCTTAATATTGGCAGAGAGAGAAAGGAAAAGAAATCAAATTATATCCTCGGTGGCATTTAGACATCAGATTAGATTTTTCTTTAAATAAATGGTCAAAAAAAAAGGTCACCCAATTTAAACACAAGCTCTCGATCTGGACACATTTCTGACTTCACCTAATTACCTCCAACCAGACTCTGAAGCAATAAAACTTTTCTTACCAAATAAAAAGAATCACTCCTAAACTCCAGCAATCCACAGCCCGGTTATATCCAGCAGTCCCAAAGGAATTAAGAACCTCAGGAGCCAGGTAAGTAGGAGTACCACATAATGTTCTCATGAGAGAGGTCTCCCCCAAGATCTTAGACTGCCCAAAATCAGTAATCTAAAATTAAGGACAAAGGGGAATCATTTTTAATGGTGTCATAAGATAAAAAGACTAACATAGTCTTGCCAGTCCTAAAGGCAATGCAGGCGAGATCAGTTCCCATCCTATATGGCTCATGCCTGTTAATCTGGTATCTTTAACACTGCAAGTTAAATTTCATTTTGCTTGGGGCGCCTGGGTGGCTCAGTGGGTTAAGCCGCTGCCTTCGGCTCAGGTGATGATCTCAGGGTCCTGGGATCGAGCCCCAAATCGGGCTCCCTGCTCAGCGGGGAGCCTGCTTCCCCTTCTCTCTCTGCCTGTCTCTCTGCCTACTTGTGATCTCTGTCTGTCAAATAAATAAATAAAATCTTAAAAAAAAAAAAAAAAAAAAAAGGGGGTTCCTGGGTGGCTCAGTTAGTTGAGTGACTGCCTTCGGCTCAGGTCATTATCCCGGACTTCCAGAATTGAGTCCCGCATCGGGCTCCCAGCTCCTTGGGGAGTCTGCTTCTCCCTCTGACCCTCTGACCTTCTCCTCTCTCATGCTCTCTCTCACTCATTCTCTCTCAAATAAATAAATAAAATCTTTTTAAAAAAATAAAAAATAAAATAATATAAAATCTGGATCGGAGCAATACTATCTGATCACTAAAAAACCGCTAATACTGGAAAGGTCAAATTCTCTACCTTTTCATGCTCCCACTTTTTACTTGATGAATTTTATAAGTTTAGGGACAGAAACCTACTGGAGTGGCCACAAACAGAACATAAATTTCTTACCTTTATAAGACAGTCCTCTTTTTGAGATGAGAGCAGAACATTCTCTGGCTTTAAGTCCCGATGTATAATACCATTTTCGTGAAGGTACTACACAGAAAGGGAGGCATGACCCTTGGATTTATGGAGTAGGTAAGTGAGTAAAGACAGACACAGATACAGACACACACACACACCCCTTACAGCTGGGTGAAACCATAAGCCAGGCTATTCAAAACCATATTCCCCCAGGGCCGCCTGGGTGGCTCAGTGGGTTAAGCCTCTGCCTTTGGCTCAGGTCATGATCTCAGGGTCCTGGGATCGAGCCCCGCATCAGGCTCTCTGCTCAGCAGGGAGCCTGCTTTCCCCCCTCTCTCTGCCTGCCTTTCTGCCTACTTGTGATCTGTCAGTCAAATAAATAAATAAAATCTTTCAAAAAAAAGTTTTAAAAAATTATAATAATAATGTATTTGGTTATTCTTTTCCTGAGGATAGTTTTTAAAGGCCTCTGTAAAGCACCTAACTATAAATTATCTGTTTAAATACCCAGAGTTCACATATTCCTCAACACAAAGACTGAGTTCATCTTCAAAATCTCTATGTCTCAAATAGAACGTTGATGATGTCTCTGTGGTCACCATTTTTATAAACCAAGTCATTTCTGTAGGGAAAAAACTCCCCCACCCACAGATCTGCACTCAACACATCTTAATAATCTTGGTACAACAGAAGGGAGAGAATCAATTATTAAGAGAGTAAAGCACAGGTTAGGGGCTAACGGGCTTCAATTCATCTGAATGCCCCCCACACACACACCCACAGGCCTGGAACAAAAACTCCTCCAAAACACCCACAACAAGAGAAAGACCTATCAAAACCCCCAGGGAGGGCAAACCCAGGTGAACCAGCCGAAGGAAAATCTCCCTCAACCCCCACTCCATAGAAGAACTGCTTCCAAACACTAGGGTTTCCTGCGTGCAGTAGGTCTTCAAGGGAAGAAGTCTTGCCAGGCAATCGCCACAGCTGAATTTGGTTTGAAAACGTGATGTTCAGAAGCAGACAGGATGCCACCAGCTACTCCTTCACCCAACATCCCCATGGACTAGAGCAGGCCAGGCATATGCCCACCCACCTGCTGCTACGGCTCACAGGCACCTAAGGTGGCCACCTGGTACTGGAGTGGGGGGGTATCCATCTGTCACAACCACCCCACCTTCCCACCCTTACTCTCCCACCTGCCTGCCACCCCTCAAGCTCCCAGCAGGTTAAGAGGGTTTCTACAAGGTTCAGGCCCAAGGAGAGATCAGTGCCCCTCCAGACAGTGCTCCAAGTTAAAGAGAAGACACGTGGGGCCCTGTTTATTTCTCTAACTCTCCTTGTTACTGTCACTTAAGCTTCCCAGCAAGACCTTTCCCATCTGAGTCAAAGGCATGGGATGGGGCGCGTGGGTGGCTCAGTTGTTAAGCATTTGCCTTCGGCTTGGGTCATGATCCCGGGGTCCTGGGATGGAGCCCCGCATAGCGCCCCTGCTCAGTAGGAAACCTGCTTCTCCCTCTCCCATCCCCACTGCTTGTGTTCCCTCTCTTGCTGTGCCTCTGTCAAATAAATAAATAAAATCTTTTTAAAAAAGGGGGGGGTTGCCAAGAATAGAACAACACAAGCACAGGCACTCTGTACCCCGGGTTTTACACACCATCCCTTGCTTTCTGCCTGATTTCGGGAGTAATTCACCCACGAGCAGGGCATCAAAAGATCCAAGGGCTTCGCTTACCTGGACAGCCAGGAGCATCTGGTAAAAATAGAGTTTGCACGTAGCTTCTTTCAGGCGCTTATTTCCCACCACCCTGTCGAAGAGCTCTCCTCCTTCCATCCTGGAAGACACAGGCAAAGCAGGGGGTTCGCTCCTGGAGGCAAACTCCCTTGGATGAACACAGTAACACCAACAAGATTCTTTCAGACAAGCAAAGAGCTGCCTTTGTTATTCACTCTCAAGGACTCCCGTTTGGAAGAAAAGTAGTGAGCTCGTTAAGTCTCCTCTCTACAGTAAAGAGGTCCCCGCTGGAAAGGAAGGAATGAGGAAAGACGGAAGGAGTGGGCAGACGGCACTGGACACACTTGGGAGGTTTTAAGAATCTGACTCACTGGGCCTGAGGTGGAGCCCACGAGTTTGCATTTTTATCACAGGCCCCAGGGATTCTGTGGCTGGAGCAATCAGGCCAGCGGGGACTGAACCCCAGTTCCCTCACTTCCCAGCTGTGGGACTTTGGGCAAGTTATATCACCTCTCTGAGCTTGTTTCTGCCTCTTAAAAAAAAAAAAACAGAGATAACCACCCCCCGCCAACCTTTAACTTGATGGCTGTTGTAAAAATTAAGAGATAATTAATATAGGTAAGGCAGTTGGCACAATGTGGCTGCTTGGTGGGGTTATTCAATCCCTCTGAACTTCAGTTTCCTTCTCCGTAAAGGGGGGCTAAACATAGGAACCCTGTAGTAACTTGTGAGTCACCTGGATGACCGTCAGGAAGGGTAAAGGAGTCAATTCACATGAAGTGCTCAGAGCAGGAACTGGCTCAGACTAAGTGCTTCATCAGTCTCGGTAACTGTTATATTAAATATATTAAACTGGTTTTGTTTCTTAAAGACTTATTTATTTGACAAAGAGAAACAGCGAAAGCAGGAACACAAGCAGGGGGAGTGGGAGAGGGAAAACAGGCTTGGCACCAAGCAGGGAGCCCAATGCAGGGCTGGACCCCATGACCCTGGGATCATGACCTGAGCTGAAGGCAGAAGTTTAACCATCTGAGCCACCCAGGCACCCCATTATTAAACTGTTTTAAGTAGGTCCGGTCAGACAGCAACAGATATTCCGTTAAGCATCCCAAGGGTCACCCAGTCTTCTCCTCGTGCTATGACTGAGGCTGTTTATTCTAAAATCTTAGTGGTCAACCTGCTTAGCCACTGTGTGCCACTCAGGAGCAAAGCCTCGCCCGGCTGCCACAAGAGCCGCTCCCAGAAACACCATGTATTTAAGCAGAAATGAGCCTTAAGACAAGCCTCTTCCAGGGACAGGACCATAAATTGTTTTGGTCACACCACAGAAGACAGGACTTTGTGGTTACTGAAACAGACCACCAAGTAAACAAGCAACAAAAAAATCAGGTGTCACCATGCCGCCCAGGACTGCGATCCCGAGCATAAGAATCTACCCGGGCAGGTGTGTCTGAGCAACTATGTGTGCCAGGGGCTCTGCTGGGCACTTTCCATCCCTCATGGGATTCCATCTTTATGACTCTGTGCATAGGGTATCATCATTCCCACCTTCTTGACACAAGTTAAAGACTCAGAGACATGAAGTAAACTCATTCACGGGCAGTCACCTGCAGAGTAGGATCCAAACTCAGGCCTCCGATTCAGGGCCTGGAACCTCTAAGCCACGTGCCTCTGGAAACACACTGGAGGGATTTTAGAATCAACACTTACCCCACAAGCACCCATTGTGAGCCCCACCACCACATACATACGACGAGGGTTCCCAGGATGGGAAAAACGCACGCCAGCCTTCAATTCTTTGGTGGTTTATAAGCAATGAAATAGAAACAAATAGAAAAGTTTATTACTTACAATTCCAAGACAATGTAATAATCTTCGGCATCAAAAAAGTCTTTAATTTGGATGATACAAGGCTAAGAGAGAAACAGAGGAAAAGTTGTGAGAAGCTCCCAAGAGGGAAACCACAGGAGCAGGACTCGGCATTTGGTCCCCTGCCTCAAGACACTGAAGTCCGTACTACAGAAAAGGCAGAACAGCACTGAGCTGGCTCTTCAGTGAGAATGTGCAATAAATCCTCCATCCCACCAACCTGGGGAGGGACAGGTCATGTTTCACACACAAGGATGGCACCAAGGAAGGCAGGCCAGTGTCTTCCCAGCATCCCTGCTGACTGTCCCAGAACCCAGGTACTGAAGGACACCTAAGGAACCCAAAGAACCGAACACTGGCGTACTTCCTCCTCTCTAGACCATGAAACACCCTGTTTGCCCTAGATTCCCAAAGTCACATTCAGCTCACCACCCTCCTGCCTGGTGATCCAGCCCTCTGGGTATCCAGCCTCAGGACCCTAGGTCAGTGTCACCCTTGGAATGCACCCACAGTTCCCTGCATTGGTTCTCATCTGCATGCCTGATACCCATCTTCAATGTCTATCTCCCCACCAGACTATGAGCTCCAGGAGGGCAGAAAAAGGAAACTAATACCCACCATGGGTCTCCTTCCATCAGGCACTTCATGGGTTGAGTCTCCCCCCCCACCAAGTCTTATTTATCTTTCTAGGACCAACACTCAGAGAGCAGCTGGCACACAGGAGACATTCATATGCTGCCCAGATTAATACAAACAAAACACTACCCACTGAGGGTAGACTCTGCCAGCCCCATTTTGTTTGAAGATTTTATTTATTTAGTTGACAGAGAGAGAGAGAGAGAGAGAGAGCAAGCGAGCACAGGCAGGGGGAACAACAGGCAGAGAAAGAAGCAGGTTCCCCGAGGAGCAGGGAGCCCGATGCAAGAACTCCATCTCAGGACTCTGGGATCATGACCTGAGCCAAAAGCAGATTCTTAACCAACTGAGCCACCCAGGCGCCCCTGCCGGCTCCATTTTGGTCATGGCATACACAGCCATGGGAGTCAGGCTGAGAGCCCACCAGCTCCACCACTCCTTACCTGTGATCATAGCATATCCTTGCTCTGCATGACCAGTTGTTAACTGGTTAGTTAACTTCATTAACTAATAATGAAGACACCAGATATGTATTATAGTGTTATATTAAGAGGAACAGAGAGGAAAGGAAAACTGAAATTCTCATATATCGTAACAGGAAGGCAACAGGCTATCTCAAATTGATACATCAAGACACAGCACTTTATGTCTATCATGTAGAAATATGGATACACTGGTTTAAAAAAAAACCAGATGAAAGAGTTTTAAAATGTTTGTAGGGGAGGATTAGGGGGCTGCAGAGCTACAATCTGTGTATAAACCTTTGAGCAAGATTTGACTCTCTAGAGTCTATGCATGTGATCATCTTGACGAAATATAGAAGCAGAAGACACACGTGGAAAAGAACCAGGAGATCAGAGAACAAATGAGAGCTGCTTGGTTCTGCCTGGCTTTACCCGGCAGGGCCAGGGCCCACCTGGGAACAGATGGGTCTGGGAGCTGGTAGAGCACGAGGAGGTCCCTGGCAGTCCAAGCCTGTAGGCGCCACCACCTCTAGGGTCTTTCATGGGCTGCAGCACTGTAGTGGAAGGCGTCTCTCCTGAACCAGAGCTACTACCCTAAACCCTCCACTTAGATCAGACACGGAGCAGTTTAGGGAGTGACAGATTGCTATCATTCCCCAAGCGTGTTCTCCACACAGAAAGCTTGGCGAGCACATCTCACTGAATTCCCAACTGACCTTTATGGTTTGTATCCTTACTGTCTCCACTGCACAGATGAGCAAACAGAGGCTCTGAAAAGTGAAATGACCACCTGAGAGCCAGGAGGTAAGAAAGATGGGACTGGGAACCGAGGTCTATCTCCCCCACTAGGCTGAAACCACAGGAGAGGAGGGACAGCCAAATCCATCTGTGCTCAGCGCCGCCCGGGTCTTAGAAGACAGGCTGGCACAGTAAGTGTCTGACGACTGATGGGATCAATGCCTGTCTCCAAGTGCTAGGCTCTGCTGGGCTATCAGGCTCTACACATTATCCCCCAAATGCACTCATGAGCCTATATTCAATTTCCAAGAGCTTTCCACATGCCCTTGTAAATTGCCAAGAAATTATCTCCAGAGATCTTTCTCGAGGGTTCTAAATTCCTCTGGACTGCAGTGGACACTGGATTTGTGTAAATGTTATGTTTGGGTATCTTCTGACATCAGGAAAAATTCCCTGAGGATTTGAAGTGTTTATCTTATGCGTATGTTTGAAGCAACCCCACCCCAGAAGATTAGAGGACTCCTCTCTCGAACAAGAGATTCCAGGTCCTTTGGGGAAAAAAGGGCTAATTCAGGGGAAGAGGAGAAAGTTGCAAGGGAATTAGAAGAAAGCAAAGCCAGGATGCTGGCTACTCAGATTCTCTGGCTTTCAAGACCCACCTATTCAACTATTGTTTGATGGCGGTGATTCTGTTCTTAACTTCTATTTACTGTTTGAGGCATTTGAGGAGGTGGAGAAAGAAGAAATCTTTTCGTTGCTTAGAGGTTAAGAACCAGAGTTAAGATTCAGGCATCTGGGTGGCTCAGTTGGTTAAGCATCCAACTCTTGATTTTGGCTCAGGTCATGATCTTAGGGTTGTGGATCATATGCCAGCATCAGGCTCCTCTCTGGGCATGGAGCCTGCTTAAATTATCTCTTACCCTCTCCCCTCTGCCCCTAGCCCCATTAAAAAAAAAAAAAAAAAAAAAAGAATCAAAGTAAGATCATCCTTAGCTGGACAGACTGGAGGTATAATTGCAAGTTTCAATTCCAGTGCCAACCTAGCTCATAACTTCATGGGGGCTCATGAATTAATGAAGAAACAGAAAAAAAAAACAATAAAAAGGAAGATGGATCAGTCTAAAGTTCCCTTCTCACTTCTTAAAAGACTCTCTTTCCAGTGAGACAAGCTCATCACTACACAAAAGATAGGAACTATTTATACCCACTGAGATAAATGGAATCAGCACCTTCAAGGTATAATTCAGAGGTACTGAAATTTCAGGTATAATTAAACTAAATTTACCAAATTAACATCGTCTTCTCAAACATAATCAGTTGATCAAATCCCTGTAAGATGAAATACTTAGGAAATGTAGGTGTTGGTCAAAACTCACTCAGTGGAAGTATCACAATTTTAATCATGAAATCTTTAAACAGTATTGTCCTCTCAAAATTTCAGGATAAAGCTCTTTCCAGCTAAATACATACCCCCCATGAACGTGTACCCACACATGTACACACACAACACAGACACACACAATTAAGGAACCCAAGTTCATACTAGCTTTATTAAACTGAAATACTTTGTACTCCTCCCATATTTTAAGAGAAGTGGATTTAAGTATGGGTCATATTCTATAGCAATACTTACATGATTTAGTTTTTTCAAAATTTCTATTTCTGTTTCAACATTGAGAGCTGGATCCTTTGATCAATTAAAAAAAATCAAAGTTTGTTAATAATAGTAATAGTCAATATTTAAAAAATACTTAGTTACAAGTTATTTGGGTAAAAGATGCCTGAATTCCACACACCCAGCCCTACTCATACAGACAATTCAAGGCTTAGAGGTCAGAGAATTAAATCGCTCACCTAAAAAAACAGTCTGCAAAGTGCTTGGCAAATAGCAGTCAGTAAATGACCAGGCCCAATGTCAATCTCTTTTTTTGAAAGAATCATCTTATAGAAGTCTCATACTCCCCAAGTAAACTGGGTCCTATAATTATCCTGATTTCACAGATGGAGTAACTGAGGCACAGAGAAAGGAAGCCACTAGCTCCAGTTCTCACAAGCCAGAAACAAGTGTGTTTCCACAGTTCTCACACTTACCTGGTGAGCTCTGTCTCTCTCTCTCTCTCTCTCTCTCTTTTTTTTTTTTTTTAATTTTTATTGGAATTCCAGTTAGTTAACATACAATGTAATACTGGTTGTAAGCTCTGTCTCTCTGGCTGTGGAATTGTTTATACTCATAAAAATGATACAATAAATAAACCACAGACAAGAGGTATTCAATTAAATTGTGAAAGGAAAACGTCAAGCCAAATTTCTAATAATGGAGCAGACACAGATTCCAATTTGCTGCAGGCTGACGTATTTACTGAGGCAGCAAGGAGAGGAAGCACCAGGGGACTGGAGTTGCTCTCCGCTCCCATTCCAAAAGGATGAACCAACTCACTCAGCCTCAGGGGCTACACCCTCCCAAGCAAAGAGGATATAGAATTACATATTTATGTAAAATGGACTTCAGCTAAGAAACCCAGATGTTTAATTTTAAAGGCCTGCCTCTTCCTGTAAGCTGTTAAACTCATTACCAAGTCAGGGCATACTCTGATGATGGAGAGGTCTTAAAGAGCCCAAGCTGATTTGAAAGATGAAATTAAGAAGTATAAGTTTGCTCCAAGTCATTAAGAATCTGGTAGGTGTTTTCTTCCCCCTCAAAATGGAAAACAAACCCAGAATCACACGGGAAAAGGATCTACCACAAAGTGAACACAGAAAGGAAATTGCTCTTGCCATATGAGAATAGCATTGTCCTTGGGGCACGGGTGGAGGATGGGGGATCGATCTTGAAAGAATGTTAAAAGTATAATGGCCAGAAACAGCTGGCCACAAAAGAAAACATGATTAGAGACCTCACTTTACATTACTTTGTAGGGTCATGTGTTGAAAGACCAATACATTTCACCATTTCACCAATGCAGTAAACGTGTATTAGGGAAAATGTGATAAAATGCATGGCTACTATACAGAGACTATTAAATAAGTTAATTAAGATTTTTAAAAATCTGCAGATGCTAAGATATTCACTGTTTCGTTATTGGGAAGGGTAAAGAACTAGAAATTATTCCAAATGATTAAACAGAACAATGGGTGAATAAATTATAATAACGTTCAGGAAAGAGAGACTCAATCATCACAAAGCATCTATTAGGGGCGCATGGGTGGTTCAGTCAATTAAGCGGCTGCCTTCAGCTCAGGTCATGATCCCACGGTCCTGGGATCGAGCCCATCTCTCGGGCTCTCTGCTCAGTAGGAAGCCTGCCTGCTTCTCCCTCTCCTACAGCTCCCTCTGCCTGTGTGCTTTCTCTCTCCCTCTCTCTCATTCTGTGTCAAATAAATAAATATAAATCTTAAAAAAAAAAAAAAAAAAACAAGGCATCTACTAAGGGAAAGTTTATGCATTAACATTTATGTGGAAAACTAGAATACAAAATTATGTACACAATATGATTTCAACCATCTAAAAATGCAAATTTTATGAAAAAGGACTATAAGGAAAAAGAATACTGGGAACAGCTGTAGAGTTAAAGTGGCGGGGATAAAGTGGCGGGGATATGGTTGGGTTTCCCACCCCCCAACCCCGTAATTCCCTTTCATGTACTGTAAAAACTTGTAGCAACTTGTAACAACACTTCCTGCTAGGTATTTTATTATGTACAACGAAGTATTTTTGGAACCAAGCTATTGATTAAGTACATTTCCAGGTTAGTTCTATATATACTTTTTTTAATGGGGCCAGGACAAAAGGACAGAGAGAGAATCTTAAGCAGGCTCTACCCACAGTGCAGATGCAACAGAGGGCTTGACCTCACAACCCTGAGACCATGACCTAAGCCAAAATCAAGAATCCGATGCTTCACTGACTGAGCCACCCAGGAGCCCCAATACTCAAAATTCTTCAGTGTTGTTTAATACAAATTCACATATGTGAACAGTGACTTCTTCCTGACATTGAACATCACCACTCTAAAATTATTTGGGGGACATTAAGTGTTAAAAACAGCTGAGCATCCACAAACAGGTACTTACAGCCTCTCTCTCAGAGTCAATAGCGAACTTCCTTTTGCTGATGATTTTTATGGCTACTTTCTTACACGTTTTCCTCTCAAAAGCTAGCTTCACCTCACCACAGGCACCACTGCATGAGAAACACAAAATGATCGATTATCAGAATGATTTTAATCAGGAGACCCATCACTCCTGAGCTGGCCTCAACAAGTTAAACACCATCCACACACAACCCTTCCACTGTCCCTATTTTCAGACAACACAGTAAAACCTCACCAAGGTTAAAATGTCAAGGGCATAAGTGAATGTGGACCATCCAACAGCACTGAGTCAGCTCCAAATTCCACTTTTTGAGCTGAGAGATACAGACTTAAGTCTTACTGGCACCCCAGAGTGTGAAATTCTCAGAAATACACTAAGAACAAATAAAGAGAGAAATTACTTATCCTACTAGAGTCAGAGAAACATCAAGTCAAACAAAGTCCTAGACAAAAATGAGTTAGACTGACACAAGTTACAGTAAACAGCATCTGCAAATGAATTACTTTGACCAATATGGTCTTTCTTAGTCAAACGAACTATATAAGCAGTCAATGCCAGGAATTTCACCCTACATAAAATCACAATGCCTAAAAGACAGAAGTATTTATGCAACTAACCTGCTCGTAGCAAACTCTCAAAGATTTGCAATTAATTGGGATATTGTAATGGAGGAGGAATGATACCCAGGATACCACCTAAAATACAGATAACCTGGTGGGCTCTGTTCTCCAAAGCTTGGGTCAAGTGAAGGTAGGTAACGGCCACTTAAATATCAATCCCTCATTACATGCCCAAAGTAGACTGTAACTGCTGTGATTCTGGAATGGGATGATGGGTTTTGCCAAGACATTTTTTAATTGTGTATTGTATATATACTAACAAAATCTACCACTGTAATCATTTTTTTTTTTTAAGATTCTATTTATTTATTTGACACAGAGTGATCACAAGTAGGCAGAGAGGCAGGCAGGCAGAAATGGAGAAACAGGATCCCCGCTGAGCCTGATGCGGGGTTCCATCCCAGGACCCTGAGACCATGACCCAAGCCAAAGGCAGAGGCTTAACCCACTGAGCCACCCAGGCGCCCCTGTAATCATTTTAAAATGTGCAATTCAGTGGCATTAAGTGTAAGTACATCTTATATGTCATGCAACCATCATCCCTGTCTAGCCGCAGAATTTTTTCATCAGCCCAAATGGAAGCCCCACCCCATTCTATGCTGCAACCAGCCACTGGCAACCACGGATCTACTTTGTCTCAATGGATTTGCCTATTCTGAACATCCCATCTCAATGAAATCATTTGACATGGCCTTTTGTATCTGGCTTCTTTCACTTAGCATGTTCTCAAGGTTCAGCCATGCTATAGGACGCATCAGTAGTTCACTCCTTTTTATAGGTAAGTAATATTCCATTGTGGGACACCTGGGTGGCTCATTCAGTTAAGTGTCTGCCTTCATCAGCTCAGTTCATGATCCCATTGTCCTGGGATCAAATCCCACATCGGGCTCCTTACAGAGCAGGGAGCCTGCTTCTCCCTCTGCCTGCTGCTCCCCTGCTTGTGCTCTCTCCAACAAATAAATAAGTAAATAAAATCTTTTAAAAAATAATTTAAAAATATACAGAATATTCCATTGTGTGGATATATCACGGTTTGTTGATCTATTCATTTGTTGATGGACATTTGGGTTGTTTCCACCATTTGGCTATTGTGAATAGAGCGGAACTGAATACCCATGCCTAAGTTATTTTTTGAACACCTGGGGTGGGGGTAGGGTTATATACCTATACAAGGGGGAATTGCTGGATCACATGGTAATTCTATGCTTAACTTTTTGATAAACCAATCAACTATTTCCCACAGAGGCTACACCATTTTACATTCCCGTCAGTAGTACATGGAGTTTCCAATTTCTCTGCATCCTAACAAACACTTGTTACTTCCATTTCTCTACTACGACCATCCTACTGGCTGCAAACTAGTATCTGCGGTTCTCATTTGCATTTCCCTGATGACGAGGATGCTGAGTATCTTGTCAAGTGGTGGTGGGTCATTTGTATACCTTCTTTCAAGAAGTCTATTTAAATCCTTTGCCCATTTGTAAACTGGATAGTTCTTCCTTTCGCTGTTCTTTATTCTGAATACTAGATCCTTATCAGACATACTGACTTGCGAGTGTTTTTCTCTCCATGGCTTGTTTCACTCCCTTTACAGCATCTGGATGCACTGAAGTTTTTACATTTGATGAAGTCTAATTTATCCATTTTTTTTCCCTTGTGTTGCTTGTGCTTCTGGTACCATATTTAAGAAATCAACACCAAATCTAAGATCATGAAGAGTTATCCCTGTTTTCCTCTTATAGTTTAATAGTTTTATCTCTTACATTTACATTTTTCCTTTTTTTTTTTTTAATATTTTATTTATTTATTTGAGAGTAAGAGAGAGAGTATGGGAGAGGGAAGGGTCCGAGGAAAAAGCAGACTCCCTGCTGAGCAGGGAGCCTGATGCGGGGTTCATTCCTGGGACTCCAGGATCATAACCTAAACCGAAAGCAGACACTTAACCCACTGAGCCACCCAGGAGCCACTAATTTTTTCCTTTTCATTTTTGCAGATAGTGTGAGATAACGGTCCATATAACTATTATTTTTTAAGATCTGCCCAAAACATTTTCCAGGTGCCCCTCTGATCAAGTCACCTTTTGCCTGGGAAGTCTTTCCTGAGTCTATGCATCTCAGGTGGGTGATCTCTAACAGTACACTGGGATGGACCTGTAACCAAAATTGAACTAGTCAAGGTTCTCCCTAGACTCAAATGCGGATATTGGGAGAGAAACAGTTTTGCCTGTGGTGGCTTCTAGAAGGAAGAAAATATGAATGGGGCTCCAGGAAGCCATCTTTCCTGTCACATAGAGAAAGCAAATCTATAGGCGACCAGTAGTAGCTAAATCAAGAGAAGGCACCAGAGCCCCAGCAACACTCTTAGGAGCCCTTACATCCAGCCACAGGTAAAGCCACACAGATAATCAGAACTCAAAGAGAGAAACAAAGCCCTAAAGGCCGCCTGATCCAGTCATACCTGAAATCAGTTGTGCCCCTGTTACAAGAGTCAGTAAAGTTCTTTTCTTCTCTGACTAATGTGAGTTAAGATTCTGCCACCTGCTAAAAGAGGATTTTCCCTTAGGAAAAAAAAAAAAAAGTCACATATATTTCTTAAGGATGGGCACAAATTTCACTGTAAATTTCCATGCGCCAATGCAAATACAAAAACATAATGAGGTACTGAATTTAACATCTACAAACTAAAATATCTCCCACAGATGGTCATAAAGAGTACACTATGTTTGATTCTATGTGACAGGAATATAGGTGCTTATTTCCTTCTATTAACTTCTACTTTCATGTTTCCAAAAATGTTAAAAGAAAAGCTTCTGGGGTCGGGGAGGGGTGGGAGATTGAAGGACATGATGCAATGTTGGTAAAGGTCCCTAAGGAAGTGGTTCTCAGGGCACCTGGCAGGCTCAGTTGAGAGGGCATGTGACTCTTGATCTTGGGGCCATGAGTTCAAGCCCCTTATTGGCTATACAGATTACTTAAATATATAAAACTTAAAAACCTAAGGAAGTGGGGCGCCTGGGTGGCTCAGTCTTTAGGCATCTACCTTCGGCTTAAGTCATGGTCCCAGGGTCCTGGGATCAATCCCCAAGCCAGAATCCCTGCTCAGTGGGAAGCCTGCTTCTCCCTCTCCCACTCCCCCTACTTGTGTTCCTTCTCCCACTGTCTCTCTGTCAAAAAAATAAATAAAATCTTAAAAAAAAAAACCAAAAACAAAAACACCTAAGGAAGTGGTTCTCAAAGTAGGATTAAGCAACCCCTAAGGGACCTCAAATGTCTGCAGGGTGTCTATAAAGCCTAAACTATTTGCAGAATAATACTAAGACATTATTTGTCTTTTTCATTCTCATTCTCTCAGGAGCAGTTTTCCAGAGGCTAGACAACATGTGATATAACGGACTGAACAAAGCAGCAGTATCAGGATCTAGCCATTTTCTAGTAAACCAGGTATCAAAGACGTTTGCAAAAATGTGAAATGATGTCTCTCTTTTCACTAATCTTTATTTAAACAATTACTCTGCAGGGCCCCTGGTTGGCTCAGTTGGTTAAGTAACTGCCTTCGGCTCAGGTCATGATCCTGGGGTCCTGGGATTGAGTACCACATCTGGCTTCCTGCTCAATGGGGAGCCTGCTTCTCCCTCTTCTACTCCCCCTGCCTATGCATGCTACACCTCTCTCTCTGTCTCTCAAGTAAATAAATAAACATATTTTTAAAAATTATTTTGCACTAAAAACATTATCTTTTTTGAAGTTTTTTTATGTATTTGAGAGAGAGAGAGAGAGTGAGTGGGAAGGGCAGGGAGAGAGAACCCCAAGCAGCCTCCCCAATGAATGGGGAGCCCGAATGGTCGGTGGGGGGCTCAATCCCAGGACCCTGAGATCATGACCTGGGCTGAAATCAAGAGTTGGATGCTTTAACCAACTGAGCCACTCAGGCCCTCCAAAAACATTATTTTTCTTAATGTAGATGAGTTTCTTAATGCATTAATTAATATCATTAATGTCTGCATTTGAATTTCTAATACAGTTAGTATCAACAGATTTAAGCCACGTGAACAAAAGCTCCTTGACATCCTCAGTAATTTTTAAGAGCGTAAGGGATCCTGGAGCGACTGGGTGGCTCAGTCACTGAATGTCTGACCAGCTCAGGTCATGATCTCAGGGTCCTGGAATTGAGCCCTGCATAGGGCTCCCCATTCAGTGGGATGTCTGCTTTTCCCATTCCTTCTGCCCCTCCCCCTGCTCATGCTCTCTCTCTCTCAAATAATATAATCTTTTAAGGAAGGAAGGAAGGAAGGAAGAGTGTAAGGGGTCCTGAAACCAAATATTTTGAGAACTTTGCCCTGATTGGTCAGTTTCATTTCACTTCTCAAGATTTCACAGATTCTGAAGAGGGCATAAATGCAGTAAATGCTTCTTTTTTGGAGGGTAATAAAAATGTTCTAAAACTGTTTGTGGTAAAGGTTTCACAACTCTGTGAATATATTAAAAACCATTAAATTATATACTTCATATGGGTGAATTGTATGGTATAAAAACTTTTTAAAATTTATCAAATCAGGGTCACCTGGGTGGCTCAGTGGCTTAAGCCTCTGCCTTCAGCTCAGGTCATGATCTCAGGGTCCTGGGATCGAGCCCTACATCGGGCTCTCTGCTCAGCGGGGAGCCTGCTTCCCCTTCTCTCTCTGCCTGCCTCTCTGACTACTTGTGATCTCTTTCTCTGCGTCAAATAAATAAATAAAATCTTTTTAAAATATTAATTTATTAAATCAATAATACACCTATCACAAACAAGTTTCTTACAAATATAAAGTTAATGAATGTTATAAAACCAAGAATAAGAAACTAATCAATGACAAATGTTTAGAAAAAAATGAAAGGCAATTTCCATAATAACAAAAATTTTACCTTCCAAGAGTTTTTGACATGATGTATTGGTCTCTTAATTCCTTAGGATAAATTGATTGATCATCTACAGTCAGATCAAAAAATACAAAAACTAAGGGGAAAAGGGCAGAAATAAGTCTCATTAATTCACTCAATAAAGATAAAAAGTCCTAAAATTTAGTAAACACATGTAATATGAGACAATTGTTTTTAATCATATTTAACATGTAACTCTAAAGGAATTATTTACCCAGGATAATAATAATTTTGTAATATTATGAAATTATATTTCATCTGCATATTATGAAACCCATGGAAAATGACAGTCAAATCTCATTCTTCCATAAAAATACACAGCATCATCTCACTATACATACATGCAGGAAATCCATACATACATGCTAGTCTTATTCCTTTGCCTCAGAATTATTTATCAATTATAACTAATATAAAATACCCATGAAAGATTAGTCCCTGCCTGAACCAGAAAAAAAAAACCTATACAGACCAGCAACTGAACTGAAGAGCAATTAGTCTGAGCCCAGAAAAAAATCTTCTAGGCCAATAAACACCCTAGTAAAATTAGACCACAGGTCATCATACTAAGATAAGTATTCTCTTCTCTTTGCCATTTATATTCCTCTACAGGTCTGGCCTTTTTTTTAAAAAAAGATTTTATTTATTTATTTGACAGAGAGAGAGAGATGACACGTAGGCAGAGAGGCAGGGCAGAGAGAGAGGGGGAAGCAAGCTCCCTGCTAAGCAGAGAGCCTGATGCGGGGCTTGATCCCAGGACTCTGAGATCATGACCTGAGCCGAAGGCAGAGGCTTTAACCCACTGAGCCACCCAGGGTGCCCCAGGTCTGGCATTTTAAAGTGCAAATCATCTTGAACCTGCTTTGAAAGTTAAATAAATAGCATTTTCCCAAAAATCTCCTTATTTCTCCATTATCTGGGCTGTATCCAAAAACAAAACAAAACAACAACAACAACAAAAAAAAAAAAACGAAAGAAAGAAAAATAACCCCAGTCATTTAAAAATTTAACCATCCATGTGGGCCAAGGCTGCAATTAATTATCAACATTTCAATTCTACAAAATCAGTGGTAGATTTGCCAACTGCCTGTATCATCTTGAAAAAGTGAAATTTGTTGAGACCCTTGAGTTTCTCTTATTTCAGGAAACAGGTTTCGACCTCCCTGGAGTAACCTAGAGTTCCAGTCTCTGGCACAAATCTGAGCCACCTGAGTGTGCTTCATTCCAGGCCGGTCCACATGACAGACACCCACGCACTGAAAGAAATCTGCCAGTGGATCAAGATATACAACTATTTCTCTATGCTTGTAGATATTTATGAACCTAGATGTTCCAGTGGCATCTAAGAATCTGGGAATTTGAGCGGTCCTGGAGAGCTATTTCTCACGGGTGTCAAGGTCTACTTCAAGAGCTACAAACTCAGTTGCCCACAGAGCCCAAGGTCTCGTACACACAGGGAGGGCTGGGTTGAGTGTAAGACAACATGGAGCAGTGAGGACTTGAATGGGCAAACACATCATGCATCTGAAAAAAGGTAGGTTCTACTGAGCACTGGCAAATGCTCCAGGTATGGGGTTACAGGATCAGTATGGCCAGACGGTCCACCTTCTCAAAGCAATCTGGATTTTCACATTCAAGTACAAATAGTGAATGCCTAATAAAATGCCAATAAACTGAATGCAACCTGCAGAGTGACCTGATCTATTTCAACTCTGGCCACCTTTAGCCCATATAACACCTCTCTTCAAAGCAGAAAAGGTGCTCCTGGGATAGACCAACCAGGAAAAGGTGGCACAGAGCTTGTCAAGTAAGACAGACCAAATCTCAGCACCTGGTTGTCCCCTCTACCAAGGGCTCTCAAACAGCAATACCCTACACAGCCGCCCTGACTGTAATCATCAGATAGAAAACAGAACAGCAACAGGGAAAACTATCATAAAATGTGCTTTAGGATGCCCAGGACAACCATCATTCCCAGATGCCAGTCTGGAGACTGTATAAGAATCAGCTAAGCAAGATTTTTTATATCCCTGGGACTCCTAGACCAGGAGCTTTCAGACAGCACCTGGGGGCATCTGTATTTTTAAGGCTTTACCCCCCACACACAGACATCCTTCCCAATCAACTCTCACGTGGATTTGTAAAGTTCTGTTTTTTTTTTTTTCTTTTCAATCCAAGAAACAAGAGTATATTCCTCCTGTCCAAGGATTTAGAATCACTGTGAGATTACATTTAACTGTATTCTGTGCTGAATGACAACTGTTTGGTTTGCATGTGATTTTGGTAAAGTTTTAGCAGTGGCTGCTTATAAAATGTTGCCCGATGATGACAATAAACATCAACACTTTGGGATAACCACGTGGTATTTAAGGGAGAAGGTTTAAACTGAGATTCTGCCCGAAAATCCCTAATGCCTGGCAGGCCCATGAAGTTCAACTGATACTTGCAGCAATTAAGGAATGGAAGGGATGAAAGGGAAGAATGAGAAAGGAAGAGAAGAAAGGAGGGAGGGAGAATTCATGGCCTAAAATCACTCATCGATCCCGAAGACTGATGTGCTATGAACTGCATCGATGAACGAAGAACCATCTTAAGGAGTATCATTCCACTGACAGCAAACAGCCTTAAACAAAACTAACCCAACCAATCAAACCTTACAAAATCTACCTTGGTAGAAATTTTTCATTTGTTTAAAAATGCCCGTAGGGCTGCACTGGATCCTAAATACTAACCTTCTTACTTTATTTATCCGAACCTTACTCTGCAAAGGGCACAACATCAATTTTCCCTTTATAGGAGAGGAAAAAAAGATCCAGTAACCAGAAGAGAGTAATGTTACCTTTATTACTCCACACTGAAAGTGCAATTTCAGAATTGTTATTCAAAGGAAGGCGTCTTCCTTTCCCTACCAGCTCTCTATTTACAAAGGTTCCATTCCCACTGTGATCTTCTATGTATGCGATGTAAGAGTTTTTAGGACCCATTTCCTAAAATAGAGAACATTTTATTTCAAAGTTTTAACAGTGGGGAGTTACAGTGCCAAGATATCTCAGCATGGTGACGACATTACCGGTTCTCCCAAATACATGGATACATTGTCACCTACTCTGAAAATCCGAAAGTGCTTCTTGCTGTAAGTCCGGTATTTATCCGTTCTTTTCAGCAGTGGCTCGTCAAAGCAGTATTCACAGCTTCTATCTCTCCCAAACCAGTAGTTGTCATTAACACACTCTGTAACACAAAAGTACACACGGGAGTGTTGTGGAATTTCATGCCCCAAACACCTTTAAAAATTGCTCATAAACTCTAATTGTAGAAAAAGAACCTAAGAAAGCAATCAAGCTTAGAGCTATCTATCAGAACTTTATAGGAGTAAAAACAAAGGGGGAAGAAAAAGATTTTCTAACAAGTTTAATAAATTGTGGTTTATACATAACTATGAAATAATAAATAAGCAGTCTTTAAAGTTCTCAAGCAATTATTAATGATTTGAAAAAACACTTATAATCTAATAACTTTCTACCTATTACCCTCTTGAGGCTTCCCATCATACTTAGTGTAAAATGTGCACTCTTTCCCACGGCAGGACAGATGCTCAGGACCTGGCCACTCCTTCCCTCCCACCATCACCTTGTACTGCTCTGCTTGACCACTCTCCCCAGTCCCACTGGTGCCTTCCACTGCCCCAAATATGCTGGGTTCAACCCCCCTGGTGCCCTTTGCATTCTCTGTTCCCAGCAACTTGAACAGCCATCTTGCCTTTGTGTCTGGGCTCAAATTATCATCTTCCACTCAGCTTTCCATATAAGCAGACTCCTACCTCGTCACCCATTACAATGACATCCTGTTTTCTTGTCCACCAAGAATGGGCCATAACTGGAAGTTATCTTGATTATTTATATATAGTCTCCCTGCACTCCCCTGTTAGAACAAACTCCAGAAAGCCAGCCTTGGGTCTCCTGTGTTACATAGCTCAGCACCCAGAACATGAATATAGTGGGCAAGTAAATATTGACAGAAAGACCAGGGAAAATATTAGCAACTCATATCACAAAATAGTACTTTCTGTACTATGGGTTAAGTTACTACAAATTAAAAAAAAGACAAACAATCCAGTAAAAACCGGATAAAGGACAGGAAGAGACAATTTACAAGAGAAAGAAATACAAATAGTTCAAACATAAGAAAAACTGGACAAGGTAACTCAAGAGAATTTTTTTTTTTTAAGATTTTATTTATATATTTGACAGACAGAGATCACAAGCAGGCAGAGAGAGAGGAGGAAGCAGGCTCCCTGCTGAGCAGAGAGCCCGATGCGGGGCTCGATCCCAGGACTCTGAGATCATGACCTGAGCCGAAGGCAGCGGCTTAACCCACTGAGCCACCCAGGCGCCCCAACACAAGAAATTTTTAAAAACAAGAGGTGCCCAGCTGGCTTAGCCGGTAGAGCATAAAACTCTTGATCTCAGAGTTGTGAGTTGAAGCCCCACAATGGGTGTTGACATTACCTAAAAATAAAATCTTAAAAAAAAAAAGAAAAAAAAGATGTATACATTGTATACATGTATACATTTAAAAAATCATGAACTTTAAAAAATAATAATATAGCCACCTGGGTGACTCGATTGGTTAAGCATCTGCCTTCAGCTCAGGTCATGATCCTAAGGTGCTGGGATTGAGCCCCATGTTGGGCTCCGTGCTCAGCGAGGGTCTGCTTTTCTCTCTCCCTCTGCTCCTCTCACCTGTTTGTGCTCGCTCTCTCTCTCAACTAAATAAATAAAATCTTAAAAAAAAAAAAAAAAGTAATACATTAAGATTTCATGTTCCAACCATCATATTAACAAAAATCAAAGAGGGAGTGCCTGAGTGGCACAGTCGGTTGGGCCTCCGACTCTTCAGCATGGGTCCTGGTCTTCAGGTTGTGAGACTGAGCCCCACGTCAGGCTTCTAGGCCCAGCATGGAATCAGCTTCAGATTCTCTCTCCCTGGGGACCCTGGGTGGCTCAGTCATAAAGCATCTGTCTTTGGCTCAGGTCATGATCCCTGGGTTCTGGGATGAAGCCCCACATCAGCTCCCTGCTCAGCGGGAAGCCTGCTTCTCCCTCTCCCATTCCCCCTGCTTGTGTTCTACTCTCGGTGTCTCTCTCTGTCAAATAAATAAATAAAGGGTGCCTGGGTGGCTCAGTCATTAAGCATCTGCCTTCGACTCAGGTCATGATTCCAAGGTCCTGCGATCGAACCTCACATCGGGCTCCCTGTTCAGCAGGAAGCCTGCTTCTCTCTCTCCCACACCCCTGCTTATGTTCCCTCTCTCGAAGTCTCTCTCTCGGCCAAATAAATGAATAAAATCTTTATAAATAAGTAAATAAATAAATAAAATCTTTAAAAAAAAAAAAAGATTTTCTCCCTCTCTCTCTGACCCTCCTGCTCATGCTCACTCTCTAATGGATAAATAAACCTTTTAAAAAAAACTCAGAGTTACCTATTATAATACTGTGTGGGCAAGAGGTATGAAGAAACTGTTACTCTAACTTATACACTGCCAGTAAGAATGTAATTTATACACCAAATACAGTTTGGAGTCTAGTGAAGATAATCTGGCAAGATGCATCAAAATTACATATGCAACCACTTCACAATGATGAAGATGGCTATAATTTTTTTTATTTAAGATTTTACTTACTGGGGAGCCTGGGTGGCTCAACGGGTTAAAGCCTCTGCCTTCGGCTCAGGTCATGATCCCAGGGTCCTGGCATGGAGCCCCACATCAGGCTCTCTGCTCAGCAGGAAGCCTGCTTCCCTCTCTCTCTCTGCCTGCCTCCCTGCCTACTTGTGATCTGTCAAATAAATAAATAAAATCTTTAAAAAAAAACAAAAAACAAAAAAAGGGGCGCCTGGGTGGCTCAGTCATTGGACTTTTGCCTTCAGCTCAGGTCATGGTCCCCGTGTCCTGGGATTGAGCCCTGCATCGGGCTCCCTGCTTGGCAGGAAGCCTGCTTCTCCTGCCTTTCCCCTTGGCTTGTGCTCTCTCTCTCTCAAATAAATAAATACAATCTTTAAAAAAAAAAAAAAAGATTTTACTTACTTACTTGACAGAGAGATAGTGAGCATAAGTAGGCAGAGCGGCAGGCAGAGTGGCAGGCAGAGGGAGAGGGAGAAGCACAGTCTCCGCTGGGCAGTGAGCCCATGCAGAACTCGATCCCAGGACCCAGGGACCATGACCCAAGCCAGAAGATAGACGCTTAACCAACTGAGCCAGCCAGGCACCCACATTTTGCAATTTCAAAACTTACTCCAAAGTTACCATCAAGGCAGTGCGGTACTCGCATAAGGACAGACATATAGATGAAAAGAGAAGAATGAGGAGACCATAAATAAATCCTATTTACAGTCAACTCATTTTCAAAAAGGGTGCCAAGACAATTCACTGGCAAAAGAACAGTCTTTCCAAAAAAGGCAGTAGGACCAGTAGATACCCACATTCAAAACAACAGAGTTGAGAGGCGCCTGTGTGGCTCAATTGGTTGGGCATCTGCCCTTGGCTCCGGGTCACAATCCGAGGGTCTGGGGACTGAGCCCTGCATCAGGCTCCCTGTTCAGGGGGAGCCTGCTTCTTCCTCTCCCTCTGCCCCTCCCTCCGCACTTGTGCTCTCTCTCGCAGTCTCTCAAATAAATAAAATATTTAAAAACAAACAAAAATCAAGTTAAAATCCTTACCTCATGCCACATACAAAAATCAACTCAAACAGAATCAAACGCTAATAGTAATGGGAACCAGAACTATAAAACTCTAAGAAAAAAGAACAGTAATGATGCTTTGCCATCTTGGGTTAAACAATGTTTTCTTAGATAGAACACTAAAAGCGCAAGTGACAAGGGTGCCTGGGTGGCTCAGTCAGTGAAGTGCCTGCCTTCGGCTCAGGTCATAGTGGTGCTCCCTGCTTGGTGGGAGGCCTGCTTCTCCCTCCCCCACTCCCCTTGCTTATGTTTCCTCTCTCACAGTGTCCTTCTATGTCAAATGAATGGATGAAATCTTAAAAAAAAAAAAAACCAAAAAGAAAAAAAAGAAAGAAAGAAACTAAAAAACAACAGAAAAGATCAAGGAAACCAGGAGCTGGTTATTTGAAAAACTAAATTTAAAAAATGGGACACCTGGGTGGCTCAGTTGGTTAAGCGTCCCACTCTTGATTTCGCCTGAGGTCATGATCTCAGCGTTGTGAGATCATGCCTGGAGTGGGTTCCACACTGGGTGTGGAGCCTGCTTAAGATTCTCTCTTTCCCTCTCCCTCCACCCCTCCCCACCCCGTCCCTCTCTTAAAAAAAGAAAAAGAAAAATGAAATAAAATTAGTAAACCTCAAGCCAGACTTACCAAAAAGAAGAAAAAGGATGCAAATAAATAAAATCATAAATGAGAGAAGAGAAATAACAACAAACACCATGGAAATACAATTATAAGAAAATACTATGAAAAACTGTATAACAAAATGGACAACCAAGAAGAAATGGATAAATTCAGAGAAACATATAAATTACCAAAACTGAAGCAAGAAGAAATAAATAGCTTGAACAGACCAACAGCCAGTGGAGAAACTCATTCAGTAATCAAAAAACTCCCCTACAAAGAAAAGTCCAAGATGAGATAGCTTTATAGGCCAACTTCTACCAAACATTTAAAGGATTAGTATCTGTTCTTCTCAAACTTTTTCAAAAAATTGAAAAGAAAGGAAAGCCTCTAAATTCATTCTATGAGGCCAACATTACCATGATACCAAAACCACACAAAAACACCACAGAAAGAGAACTATAGGCCAATACCCCTGATGAACATAGATGTAAAAATCCTCAACAAAATACTAGCAAACTGAATCCAACAACACATTAAAATAATCATTCACCACAATCAAGGGGGATTTATTCCTGGGATGCAAGGGTGGCTCAATATTGGCAAATCAAGCAAAGTGATATATCACATTAATAAAAGAAATGATAAGAACCATATGATCATTTCAGTAGATGCAGAAAAAGCATGTGACAAAGTACAGCATCCATTCATGATAAAAAACCTCAACAAAGTAGGTTTAGAGGGAACATATCTCAACATAATAAAAGGCCATATATGAAAACCCACAGCTAGTACCATCCTAAATGGGCAAAAGCTGAGAGCTTTTTCCCTACAGTCAGGAACACGGCAGAGATGTCCACTCTCACCACTTCCATTCAACATAGCACT